GACACATTCTTAGTCCTTGGGTCTTGGAATGCCAAATGAGCCAGGCTGTAGGATCCAGAACAAAATCAATTCTTCCTTGGACCCTTAATTCTAGGGCCCATGTCTTTGGGCACATTTGGTCCTCCCCAGCTTCAGCAATCCCAGGTCTCCCAAAGTGATGAGTCTGAGGGGGTATGAGGACTACTGGTATGTGGTTAGAGGTGGCGCGACACCTGGATGTGAGGACCGATATTGAGGATTTTCATGGGTTGTGGGTCTCTGGTTGTGCTGTGAGGCTGGGTGGAGGAGGAGCTTGGAGGACTTGGGAGTGAGAGAAGAGCAGAGCAGAAAGCTCCAGGTTTCTGGGCCAGCAGAGTGGCTGGCTCTGGGAATTTGAAGGCATCAGCCAAGCAAGACAGGAGCGAAGGATCCGCTAAGAAGCAGTAGGGACTCTTTTAATTTTGAGACAGGTTCTCAATAAGTTGCCAAAGGTGATCTCAAACTTGAGATCCTTCTGCCTCAGCTTCCCAAGTAGATCACAGGCATGCACCACTGCACCTGGCTGATGTCAGGGATTTGTGAGAATAGTAAGTTACTATCTGTAAAGTGCTTCAAACCATATTTGCCACGTGGTAAACACTATAAAGTTCTAAGACACAATCAATGTTTTCCTTCTCATTTTATCATCTGTATCAAATAAAATTCAGACTTTGTAGTTCCTGTTTTTCCACTGATGTCCTCTTTCTGCTCCAGGATCCATCCATCCAGGACACCACACTGCAGTTGCCATGTCTCCTTGGTCTCTCCTGGTCTGTGACAATTTCTGTCTCTTTGTCGCTTTCATGCTCTTAAAAGTTTGAAGAGTATCAGTCAGGTGTTTTATGGAGTATCCCCAGTTTAGAACTTAAATTGTCTGCTAGTTTTCCCTGTTAGACTGTGGCTAGGGGTTTGGAGAGGATTACCCAGAAGGAAAGTGCCTTTCTCATCACAACTCCAAATTGATGTTTTATGGGAAAAAATTCTTTGGCTCCCTCTGTTTGGCTTTCCCTCAGGGTGGAGGAAAGGGAAGTCTGCGTGGCTGAAGGACAGCTTCAGCCAAACTAAGCTAAGACCTGCCCAGTCAGGGGACTTGGACCATGACCTGGGGCAGGAGAGGTGGTTAGAGGCAGACTGAGCAGGATCAGAAATTCAGCACGGGCCAAACCCCAGGAGAAGGCCAGGGGGTCCTAGGGGAGCCCCTTGGCCAGGCTAAGGAGGCTCAAGGAATAGGTTGTGGACAGAGGAGCCACAGGGGAAGAACCAGGAGGTGAGCCCTTCTTGCTGGACTGTCCTGAGGGGCCCCACTGACAGAAACCCCAACAAAGATTTTGCCCCCTACAGCTCTGCCAGCCTGAGCCTAGGGTGCAGAAAGGTCAGGATCCTTCAGGCTTATGTTGTTCACTGTATGGGTCAATGCAGCCAAAGACTGGGGGTGGAGGGAAGTCCCCTGGAACCTGCCCTCCATGTCTGGATAGAGAAGCAGCACAGCCCTGGAAGGAAGCCTCTGGGAAATGCAGGGAGGATCAGAGCAGAGTGCCCCCAGGAACCTCTGTGCCAGCAGGGGACTGTGTCTCCTTGGGCTTGCCTTCCAGAACTGCCAGTGCTGTGGCTGGCAACCAAGCTGCGTTTGTACTCTTGATGACTTTTGTCAGGAATCCCAAACCTGTCCTGGATACAGGCACAGCTGGCGGCCTGGAACTGGGGGTGTGGGTGAGGTATGCCAGGGCTTTATTCACCTACCAGGGTTCATCTGCCCCTCCACTGTTTGGGCTCTGAGCTCTTCTGGTTCTTGCCCTAGTCTCCTCTTCTTCCCCTTTTCCTCAGGCCAGAAAGCCTTGGGTGCTATCAAGACCTTTTGGTTCCAGACAATTCTCCAGGGTCTCTGATTTGCCCTAGGAACCCATGGATGGAAAAGGGAGATGGGGGAAGGACAGACTAGCAGACAACTCTAGGCTTATTCTCCATACCAGGTCTCAGCTTTCTCATCTGTTAAATGAGGGATCAGAATCAGTTACTTTTATTGCATTATTATTATTATTATTATTATTATTATTATTATTATTCTGAGATGGAACCCAGGGCCTGGTGCATGCTAAGCACATGCTCTACCACTGAACCACATCCCCAACTCTTGCTCTTTTGAAATTTCATATTAATTGCATTAATGATTAATCTGTGGTCTATAGATTACATATAAGCTATAATCCAAATAATCTATTAAAGTAATAAAAGTCCAAGATAAAAATTGCTCATGATCCCATTCTGAAATGACATGAATATTTGTGTTGGTTTCTGATGATTTCTAGTTCTTGTCCAGGTACATATTCAATTTTAATGTATTTCATAAATAGGAATTTATATTTAACATTTCAGTTAACATTACACAGAACACTGTTTTTTCTTTTGTTTTTCCTACCTCAACCTTCTTTTATTCCCCACTCTCCTCCTGCTGCAAAGTTAGTTTGCACTCATAAAATATAATGTACTGATATAGTACCCATATCACACATAGAATTCACATTTGAGAGGAGAGGGGTCGTGGCCTATTTTACAAAATTGAGACCATGCTACATACATTTTTCTGCAAACTGTTTTCCCCATTTAGCCATATGTTGTAGAAATCCATTCAGGCCAAGATAGAGTGCTAACTGATGCCCTTTGATAAGTGCATAATTCCATAAGATGAAGCTATTGCAATTGATTCAATCATTCTGTGATTGATGGGGACTTGGGTTTTTTCTAGCTGTTTCTTCTTCCCAACTAAAAACAATGCTGCCATAAACATTTTGAATAATAATACCTCTAGGAACAGTTACTTGCATTTCTACAAGTATGAAATACCATGGGTGGGATTGCTGGATAAGACTGCATAAGACTTAACAGTGTCCTTTTCCCCCAAAACAAGAATAAAAATTCACATCTACACAAGTAGTGCATGAAAGCCCGTCTCCCCACATCCTCACCAGCACTGGTAGTTAGCAGTCATTTTAATGATTGCCAGCCTGCTTGATGAGCAATGGCATCTCAGTGCTATTTTAATTTGCATTTTCCTGTTTACTAGCAACCTGGAGCATCTTTCCTTGTATTTATTGGCTTTCCAGATTCCTCTTCTATCCACAGCTATTCACACCATTTGCTTATTTTTTTTTTTCTTCTGGGTTTGTCTTTGCATTATGAATGTGTTGGAGCTCAGTGTAGGAATGTTTAACTTGCCTTTTGTGGGATGTAATGCAAATATATTTTCCCAGTCTATTATTTTTCGTTCAACTTAGTAGGGAAACTTTTTCCATACATGATGTTCTCATTTTATTTAGTCAGATATGTGTCTTTTTCTTTGATGTATGTATGTGTGTGTGTGTGTGTGTGTTTGTGGTACTGAGAATGAAACCCAGGGCCTCACATATGCTAGGCCAGTGCTCTACCACAAAGCAACATCCCCAGTTCTTTTTATTTTATTTTGAGGCAGGGTCTTGCAATGTTGCTGAAGCTGGCTTCAAACTTGCCATCTTCCTAAGTAGGTGGGATTATAGGCATGTACCACTGTGCTGGGCTAGATATGTGTATCATTCTTAATGACTTTTCAAATTCCTGTTTTGTTCTTAAAATCTCCCCAACATGTACACTATATTCCTAAATTTCCTTTTGAATTTTTCCTTGCTTTATTTTTTTCTCATTTAAACAAAATCTCTGTGGAATTTATTTTGTTGAATTAAAATATGCTCCAATTTTACTTTTTTTCCAGGAGGATAGCCAAATTCAACGTTTCCAATCTCCAAGCCTAGGGGATCCTAGGAGATAGCTAGGCAGCTACTAATATTGGGGTTGAGGGTGGGGTGTCTGGGAACTGATGTCAGACTCCCTGTCCCCCAACTACGGAGCTATTCTACATTTGCTGTTTTACAAAATGGGCTTCCAATAAAGATCTGATTTGGACAAGGTGTTCTTAAGCCTTAAGGAAGTCTGAAAACCCCTTTCAGATGATCTTTGGGGATCCTCCCAGGCTTGACACTCTCTGATTCCATAATACTAGGATATCGACCATTTAGTACAGAAGAGAAGGTGACAGGTCAATGGAACTTTATCCAGCAGTGACTTCAGCTTTAACTCCTGAGTTGGCTCCAGGTGGATATCATACAGCACTTCAGAAACAGATGAGACCTTGAAAAATCATCTAGTCTAGTGCCTCTCAATCTTGGCTGCCTTTAGAATCATCTGGGAGTTTATAAAAAATTCTGGTGCCCTGGGCCCCTGCCAGACTACATGATTCAGAATCTCTGAAAATTATTGGAAAATTATTTTTAAAATCTCCTGGTGAGTCTTATGCAGCTAGGGTTGAGAACGACTTCTATAGTTCAACCCTCTGAATTCAATAGTAAATATATTGAGAACCAGAAAAAGTGAATTCATATCATACAGCTGGCCAGCTATAGAGATGGTACTAGAACTAGGATTTCCATCTCCTGAGTTGGCCTTCCCATCTACATCAAACAAATCCCCCATCAACACCTTGGACTTTCCAACAGACAACACAAAGGGCTCTGAGCGCTATGTACATTTGCATATGAATCAGTATATTCTGGGTGAATAGGCATAAAGGACTTAGTGGGGAACAGGGTGGTAAAGAACTAACTATGATAAAAGATTGAGCAAGGCACATGGAAAATCCAGGGGTAGGAGCCCACTGCAGGGATGGAGGTGTGGAATAAGGCAGAGTGAGTTGACCAGGTAGGTCAGGGAGGCTCTGTGCAGGAGGTGGCATTTGAATAGGGCCTGTGGGTGACTGAAAAAGACTTGGATGGACAGAGAGTCAATGCCAACATTTCTTCCAAACAGCATTTGGCTGCCTTGGTATTACACAGAGGCTCAAAAGCCAGGGAGGGGGAGCAGCAAGGATTCCATGCAGGAATGCCTTAGTGTAGGGGGATCTAAGGTCCAGCCTGTCTCAGCCCTGTTCTGACCTTCTCCCTCCGCTCTGCCCACAGGAATGAAACCGTGCTGCATCAATTCTGCTGCCCAGCCGCTGACGCCGAGCAGAAGCCCTCCTGCTCTGACCTGGCCTCCCAAAGGTGGGACGTGGTGGCCCTTCCTCCCTTCCCCACCCCCATCTCTTTTCCTCTCAGAGCAGAGCACACAGCACAGTGCTGTTTGGCCTCCTCTTGAGTCTTGTGTGGTTGTTTGTTTGTTTTTATCTCCTTCCCCATTCTTCCATTTCTCATTCTGAGCCCAGATGAGTCATTCCCAATTTTTAAGATCATTACACCCTGCCATTCAAATTGCAAACCTATGCTCCTTCCTTCTAAACAGGTTGTATAAAGTTCAATTTTGCTAAACATCAAGGGATCTGACTTTGATTTTATCTATATAGATATGTATTTCACACAGCAGCGAGTCTGAATGTAGTGGGTACTTAACTCATTAATAGCACCTGCCCATCCTCTATAACAAAGATTTTTTTATTTTTCTTTCTAATCTTTCTCCTTCCATAAAGGAGCCAAGGTCACTGACTAATTTTAGGGATTTCTCAACCCTCGGGAGTTGGTGACAACCTGGGAAGGAAGGGGGAGTGTTGACAAGGCAGGGTTGGTGTCACTACCGGGAGCTCTGGTCTTCATTTTTTCTGGGTCATTCCTGCTCCTGGGTCTCCTGTCTCCCTTCCCTATAGCACATCATACCCTCATGCCCAGTCCTCCCTCCATGTTCCTCTCCATCTCTCTACCCCTGTGTTTCTCCATCTCTCCTTTTCTCTGCCCAAGTCAGTGCCCCTTCCCATTGAACTTTGATCTACTCTCAGTCTCTTTAACTTTGTTTTGGTCTCTTCTTCACCAGTTTTTCTGCCTCATTTCTCCACATCTCTTTTTTCTTGACTTGTTATTTACTTTGCTTGAATTCTGGCCTGACATGGGCCCTGTCACCAGCTTCCTGATGTAGGAATGACTTTGGGCAAGTCATTCAACTCCCCTGGGCCTTGGTCTCCTTATCTGTGTAGTACTGAGGGTGCAGGGTGAGGGCTGGTCTGCCTGTCAAGAAAGTAGCACTTAAATAGAACCTAACTGATTTCCCAGCTGTCCAGGGAGGTCAGGTGAGGCAGGTTATTGTCCCTGCCTTATGTGAAAGGGTCAGAAGACTCAGGGATTTGTCCGCAGGAAGTACCTGTGCCTGCACTTGAACTCGAAGAATTTTGCTCCCAATGTTCACCATTTTCACTTTTAATATTCAATAATCCTATCATCTTTCTCTTTTTATTCCATAGAAAATATCTAGATAGTTTTCAGAAGTGGTGCTATTGACCTTCACATTACAGACATTCACCCCCTAAAATTCAATGCTACTTGTTTTCCCTCAAGGGGAAGCCATCAAAGGTTAGAGAAAGAGACAGTACTCTGACAGAGACTATGGGCGGTGGGCCCAAAAGAGGGTCACTACCTTCAGGGTCCTTAAATCTAGGACCGAGGGAGGGATGGGACTCCCTGAGTCTGACCAGATTGGAAGATGGGAGGCCAAAGGGAAGGACCAGTCTCTGTGCCAATGCTCTGGGTAGTCTCCTGGCCAAGTTTTGGGTCAGACCCAGGGACATGAAGACAAATAAATCCCACCCACTTGGATCCCTGGGAAGCCCACACCTAATGGAACATTAGGATTCCCCAAAGTGAAAATTTCTCACCTAGGAATTAGAAGGAAGAAGAGAAGTGGTAGAATGAACTAGTAGAAGAGGAATGACGACAAAGAGTGGAGCTCTGGCATGAGAGTGGAAGGAAGAGGCAGAAGGGGCCGGGTTCCTTCTTGTGGGCTGCCAGTGTTCAGACACATGGCCCAACTCTCCTTCCTAGAGATCTACTTCCTTGGCAGGGGAGGAGGAGTTTGCCCCCACCCCCAATCCCACCCCATTAGTTCAACTCAACTCAATGGACATTTTCTTGATGCTAAGGAAGCACCAGGCTTCAGTGAGGTTGAATGACTTCCACCCTCAGGAAGCTCAGGCCTGGGCAGGGGCAGGCAACAGAGAGCCTCCCTTGGGTTTGCCGTGGTCTTTTCTCTGGTTCACTCCTACCCCTCAGGTTCTTCCTTGTGGCAGAACTCTGCCTGCCTGCAGCCCTGGCTCCAAGTGGGAACGGGTAGGAGGAACCAGCATGCCCAGCCTTGGAGAAGATAGGCACGTGGACGGCAGGGGAGAAGTGCTGCCCTTTGGAGCCAGGGCTCCAAAGAACTAGGGTTGATTCCAAGGTTTGGAGTGGATGTTAGGAAATCCTTTACCTTATTTCCCAAAAGATTGGTTGTTGGTCTTCCCCTTAGGCATGCAGACGCTGAGGTTGGGGCTGGAGGGGCTCTGGGGAAGGAGGGTGGGAGGTGGGAGATGCTCTGGATTGTTCATGGAAGAGCCTGAAAGCCCTGCCCACTGCAGCCTCCCCTCCACGAGGGACAGGGAGCCTGGCCTTCAAGATGGCCCAGGGCTTCAACTGCTGTCTGTCTCTGGTTCCCAGTTATTCTAAGTCGTCCTGTTTGTCTGTATGGTTTGTAGTTTCCTAGAGCCTGTTTTTTTTTTTTTTTTTTTTCTGTCTGTCTGTCTGTCTGATGTCAGTTTCTCCCCTTCTTGGGAAGAGGACTCCTGGATGTTTCTGAACAACCCAACAGTACATGTGTCAGTTGGTCTGTCTATTCTTGACTTCCCTGGGGGAATTCCATCCTAAGGAAAGTTTTCTCCCACCAGACTCCTGCTGTATTCCTGCTCCCAACCTTATCAAAGACCCCTTCACTACCCCTTCTCCCTTCTCCTGAACCAGGTGTCCCACCTCCAGACAGGGTAGCCCAAACTTCCCCAAGGAGTTCATCTAGAGGATGGGGGGCTAGAGCAGGTGTAAGTGGGTCACAGAGGCCCCTGGGCATCCCCTGGAACTGTGAGACAAGCCAGGCTCCTCCTACCAGTCATTCTGGCTTCCTACCAGCTCAGTCAGCCATCAGCCAGGTCATGGACTCCTCTGAGGGTTTCTAGGGATAAACGAATTGACCTCTACAGGAGATCTCTATAGGGAATTCCAAACCAATCAGTCAGATCTCAGGGCCTTTGCTATGTGGATCCAGGAAGTTGTGGGAGCTCCCTCACCTTCTCTTCCTCTGCACTATGATTAAGGCCATGGTCAGTCCAAGTTTGCCAGGTGTCTGTCCCATCCCTGCCCTCACGTCAGGCAGTGTCATCCCTTGGGGATAGCTTACCTATCTGATCAGCTGCTTTAGCCTAAGTTCAACCCTCAGCACGGAGGAAAGACACCGGGACCTAGAGAGACCCTCATGCTCCTAAAGAGGCAGAGAAGTCTCAGCCTAGTGTAGGGTAGGATGGCATTGCTGGGGGATGGGACAGACTTCTCCACCCACCTGCAGAGCAGCGTTGGGGACTGGTACAGGAGAAACTCTTATTTACCAGGGAGAGATGTCCCCTGGCATGGGAAGACTTAAAACTGAGCAAGTCTGGAAGCCTGGGTGTCCTTGAAATGGAGCTGAAGCTGGGCATCAGGGACCTAGGTACAACAGAGCCGCTGTGGTCTAGCAATGGGCTCTGAGGCTGGATCTCCAGTTAGGATTATCATGGGCTCCCTTGAGCCTGGTTCCCCACACACCCCATGACTAGGGGTAATTAGCCCTCAGGTGGGAGCTGGGAGTTGGGCCCCTTGCAGTGGGGGAGGGGGTGGGTAGGCAGCAACTGCACTCATGGTTCTTTCTCCCAGAGGTTGGGGAGCAGGTGGGGCCCCTTCCCCACCTCCTCCCCCAGTGCTAGCTAATGACAGGGCTTTATTCTGGGGAGTTGAATAGGCTTGTAATTGCAGCCCTACTTTTGATACCACGGGGCTCCCCTCCCTTTCAGGCTCTCAGTGACATTCGGAACAATGACCAGGGAGCTGGCCAGCCGCCTCCCAGCATCAAGCAGAATTGCAGCCCATTTGTCTCCGTGGGTGGTAATGGGGCTGAGATGAGGAAGATTGGCTTCTATTAGAGTAATGGGAGGAGGCGGCAGGAGGAGGGGGCGGGGCAGGGGAGGACACAGAGCAACCAACCCCTAGTTGTGGGGAGAAAGAGGAGACCTGGAGTCAGGGGGTGCCCTGGGACCCAGCAGCCTGAACTGCTTCCCTTCCTTCTGGTGCTAGCTCCTTCCTTTCATTCCCCACCCTTCCTCCAGGATGGAAGAGACGCTAATATGTATTGAGCATGCCAGGAACGCTGTGCTAAGCACCCTCCATATTTTATCTCCCCTCATTCTGTGAGATAGATGTGATTCTCCTGTACAGATAAGCGATGTGGGATGGAGAGACATTGGGTATCTTGACAGAGGGACCACTGCTAATCGGATCTGGAGCTGGAAATTAAACCCAGATCTAACTTCAAAACGCAACCTTTTTCCTGCAAAGCTGCTATTGGATTTTTTTTTTTTAAGAACTCAAGAGAAATCCTTCCAGCCATTTCATTTGGTTTCAAATAACATCTATTTCCTCTGATTATTAGTTATACATGCTAGTTGTTGGAAATGTGAAAAACACAGAAATATAAAGAGGAAAATAAAAATTGAATCCATTCATATAAAATTAACTACAGTTAATATTTGAGGATGCAAACTTTCAGTGTTTTATTTTTCTATGATTGGGTTTTACATTTTCCCAGCACTTAAAAAAAAAAAAAAAGATTTTATAGCCTGCATTTCCCACTTGGTATACTGTATCAGTCTGGAGAGCCTCATTCTTAAACCGTCCCTCCTGGACCCCCACTTACCCTGGTGACACACCCAGCTCATGCCCTCACCTGCTAACCAGCAATGTCTGCAGTGTGGCTCCAGGCTCTGCTGGTGGCTGCAGCTGCTTGATGCCCTTAAGGAAGGGGCATCCTTCCAAGAATGGCTGTCGGGGGAGCCCGGCATTAGCATGGCCAGAGCATCCATTCCGCCTCTCCTCAACTCACCCTGCTGGCTGTGATGGGCCTGAAGCATGATCAATGGACCAGCCAGTGTTTACTCAGCAATTACAGAGCAATTAAATTCCCAATCGATACAGTTTAGTCCTCAAACAGCTGGGCTAGGGCGCTTCTG